CAATCTGTCATGTTTTCTTCCATCTCTATCACTATCAACCTAGTTCACCATCTCTCAGATCCTCTACCACATTAGTTCCTACACAGTCTCTCACTCACTTTAAACCTCTTCTATTTATGCTCTATGCAGCAATAAGAGTGAGTTTTCTTCAAACAACAAAATTCTGGCTATGTCACATTGCTGCTTAAAGCCCTTCAATGACTCCCCATTCAGCTTAGAAGAAATAAGGCAGATATTCCACTGGTACCTAAAGGCTTGCATATTCAGATGTAGGATTGGAAGGAGAGAGGTAATACACAATGCCATCACCTAAAATCAATAATTCTATTGTCTCAAGTGATGTGATAAAATTTAAAACCGCTTACAATAAGTGTGTGGCCTGGAAGACCTACAAGAAATTCATAATGTTCAGGGCTACAAAAGTATATCCTACTTAAAATGCTTGAGCTTGAGGGTCATCACTAACTTACCAAGCCAGATTCAGGTAATTAGAAGTCATTTGGCATGTTAAACTATGATATCGGTAAAATCATCCAAGAAGCATTAATCAGCTCATTAGTTTCTCACTCAGATCACTAACGTGCCTAGTAACCATATTATGACCACAAATCTTGACGCACTAAGTATAACTCAGTAGCAACAGCAATTTGGGTAAGTGATTTTTCAAATGAAGTAGGGTTTTCCAGATAAAATACAGGACATCTACTTAAATTAAATTTGTTACTAAAATGTTATTTATTGTTCATCTGAAATTCAAACAACATGTACTAGGTGTGCTCAAAGTATATAATTAATATTTAAATTTTTAAAAATTGTTATGTGAAGAACACATTACCATTAATCCCCCTCAAAATAATCCCCCTCATTCAAAGACACTTCATCCATCATTTCTACTACTTTCTGAGTCAGTTATTGGAATCTTTTGTGAGTGTCTTTATAAGGAGTGATCAAGATAAGGTGAATATGCCTGCCAAGTGCCATCCATTGGAAAGGCAGGCTTGTAAAAGTATTACAGTTTGAGTTCTCATCCACCTTATTCACCAGAACTGGCACTGTGCTATTTCTGGCTGTCCCCCAAAGTCAAGATGACCATGAAATGTTAATGTTTTGGATCGATTCAGGACATCAAGACAGCCATCATAGCATAACTAAAGACACTCACAAAAGAGAACTCCAGAACTCTTCCACAAAAGTGGGAAGACTGATGAGGAGTGTTTAAAGCAAGAAGGAGGATTTTGAGGGAGACTAATGGCAGAGTGTCTTTTATAGTAATAACTTTTTAAATTTAAAAATCCAGTGTATTTTTCAATCAGACCTCCCATCTTGTATTTTTATTAGGTAAGTTTGGCAACCCAGAAAACCATTAAGGAATTGAAATTGGTATATACATATCGAAAGAAATCAACCATGTAGTAAAAGTTGTTTTCATTTTAGAAAAAATATTTTGTTATTATGATATTTTGTGTGTGTTTTGTAAGTATTCAATCACATATATTGTGCAAATAAATGAATTTCACTGTGACTTTCCATATATGCCTATATCATGTTTGATCATATGCATCCTTCCTACTATCCTGCCTTCCTTTAACCTCGCTCCCACATCCTCAGCCCCTTTCCCATCCCTAATAGTCTGTCTTCTATTTTCAGGTCATATTTATTTTCTATATATTTATTTTTAGTCTCCACATAAGAAGGAAAATATAGTATTTATTTTTCTGTGTTTAGCTAATGTCACTTTAAATGATACTCTCTAGTTCCATCCATTTTCCTACAAATGACATGACTTCACTCTTATTTTGGCTTGTTTTGTTGTGTCTTTCTGCTTATTTCAAGTCTTCAGTAAGGTGTTTGATGTACTTTGAGTTAATTTTTTACAGGGTGATGGGGGGGATCTAATTTCAATCCTTTGCTTTTTTAGTATATGTACTGCCAAAGCAAGTACTCAGTCCACTACATGTGGTCAGCCAGTTTTCCCAACACCAGTTACTGAAGAGGCATGTCTTGTCTCCAATATATGTTCCTGGTATTTTTGTCAAGAATGAAATGGCTGAAGATGTGTGGGTGTATTTCTAGGTCCTGTAATCGAGTCCATTGTTTCATGTGTCTGATTTTATGCCAATATCATGATGTTTTTTGGTTTTTGGGTTTATTTTTGTTTTGTTGTTGTTGTTGCTGTTGTTTTCCAGTACCAGGAACCGAACTCACGACCTTGTGCTTGCCAGGCAGGCGCTGTGCCGCTGAGCTAAATCCCCAGCCCCAATCACGATGTTTTTGTGACTGTGTCTACAATATATTTTGAAATCTGAGATTGGAAGGGTTCCAACATTGCTCATTTTGCTCATGATTGCTTTGGGTGTTTGGGGTGCATTGTGTTTCCGTATAAATTTTAGGATTGTTTGTTCTAATTATGGAAAGAACGTCATTGATATATAATTGGGATTGCACCGAATCTGTAGGTTGATTTTGTTAGTATTCCATTTTAAATATATTGATTCTCTTGATCCATGAATATGGGAGATCTTTATGTCTCTTAGTGTAATTTCTTCCACTTATTTCTTCAATTCACCTGCTTGGTTATATTTTTCCTAGTTTCCTTTTTTGATAATTGTGAATAAGATTGTTTTCCTGACTTCTTTCTCAGCAAGTTCATTACTGGGATATAGAAAAGCTACTGATTTTTGTATGTTTATTTTTTACATCCTACCAATTTATTTCATTTTATTTTATTAGTACCTGTTTGAAATACATGAAGTTTATATTCATTTCAGGGATCTTAGTTCTGAGAGTCTTTTGGTGGAATCTTTATGGTCTTATATATATAGAACCATATCAACAAACAAGGACAATTTGACTTCCGGCTTTCCTGTTTGCAGGCCTTTTACTTTTTTCTCTTGCCTGACTGCTCCGGTTAAAATTTCAAGTATTGTATTAAGTGAAAGTGGTAAGAGTGGACCCACATGTATTATTGCTGATTTTGGAGGAAATGCTCTCAGTTTTTCACCAAACAGTATAGCTGACTGTGAGTTTGTAGGATACAGCCATCATAATGCTAAGGCATAACCCTTCCATACCTAGCTTCTCAGAGTTTTCATCATGAAGGAGTACTGAATTGTATCAAAAGCTTTTTCTGTATCTATTCACATGATCATGTAATTGTTATCCTTAATTGTATATATGTGATTTATTACATTAATTGATTCACAGATGTTGAACCATCCTTACATTTCTGAAATGAAATCAACTTATTGATGGTCTCTTTAATGTTGTTGCATTTAATTTCCAAGTTTTTTGAGGGTTTTTGCATCTATGTTCATCAAGGATATCGGTGTATAGTTTTATTTTTGTTGTGTCTTCATCTGGTATTGGTAGGAGGCTAATACTGGTTTCATATAATGAGTTCGGGAGAATTCTCCCCTTTTCTATTTTAAGGAATAACTTGATGAGTATTGGTATTAGTTTTCTTAAAAGTCTGATAAAATTCAGCAGTAAATCCATCTTCTCCTGGGGCTTTCTTTATTGGGAGATTCCAATCCTCATTGTTGTCTGGTTCAATCTCACTGCTTGTTATAATTCTGTTTAGGTTTATTGATATGTTATGAGTTCAATTCATGAGATCATATATTTCCAGAAATTTGTTTGCTTCTTGATTTTCTAATTTATTGGTATAGTTTTCAAAATATTTCCCAATAAGCCTAAGGATTTTGGTTGTGCCTGTTTTAATATCTTCTTTTGCACTCTAATTCTATTTATTTGGCTAATTTTTCCTTTGGTTAGTTTGATGAAAGGCTTACCAATTTTGATTTTGTTTTTAAAGAGCCAATCTTGGTTTCATTGATCACTTATATTGTTCGTTTAGTCTTGATTTCATTTATTTCTGTACTGAGCCTTACAATTTCTTTCTGCTGTTTGAGGGTTTGGTTTATTTTTGCTCTTCTAAGGCCTTAATATGTGTGACTAGGTTATTTATATGAGACTCCTCTGGGTTTATTTTTTAATATAGTTACTCATATTTCCAAACTTCTTTCTTTTTTTTTTTTTTTTTTTTGGTTTTTCTCCGATACCGGGAACCGAACTCACGACCTTGCGCTTGCCAGGCAGGCGCTTTTGCCGCGGAGCTAACCCCCCAGCCCAAACTTCTTTCTTAGTGCTGCTTTCACTGTGTCCCCAGACTGGTATTATCTTTCTGCTTTCTTTTGATTCTAGAAATGTTCTAATTTCTTCTGATTTCTTCAGTTATCCATTGTTCATTCAAAAGTACATTTTTCAAACTCCATGTGTCTGCATAATTCCTGTAGTTTCTTTTGCTGTTGATTTTTAGTTTCATTCCATTATAATCTCATAAGATAGAAGAAATTATTTCAATTGTTTATATTTGCTAAGATATGCTTTGTGGCCTAAAATATGATCTATTTTAGAAAAAGCTTTATGAGCTGCTGAAAAAACATATGTATTTTCACAGCTGTTAAATTAAATATTCTGTAGATGTCTGTCAAGTCCATTTGAACTAATTGTAATTTAACTCAGATCTATTTTGTTGATTTTTTTTTGGCTGAATCCAATATTTATAGCAGGACATGGATGTCAACACTATTATTGTACTAGGGTCCATCTCACCCTCCATGGCTAGCACTATTTGTTTCATCAATTGGGTGCTCTGATACCCTGTGTATATATACTGACAATTGTTATATCTTCGTGATGCATTGTTCCATTTAGTAACATATTTATTAATGTATGTTTGTCTTCTTTTTCTCTTTTGTTTTTGGCTTGAGGTATGTTGAGTCCAATATGGTATGGTTAGAAAAGGGAGAAAATTACTTTGCAACCCTACAAAGCTTGGAAATTGGTAATTGGAAATTATTGACAAAAGAAGTCACAAAAACGCCATAAACACATGGAAATCAATTAGCACCCTCCTGACCAACCAGTGGGTCACACATAAATGTAAAGAAGAGATAAAACAATATTTACAATCAAATGAAAATGCAGGTACAACTTACTGGATCTTGCAGGATGCAACGAAAGCCATCCTCAGATGGAAATTGCTAGCGGTGAACTCCCACTTCAGGAACACAGAACGAGCACAAATAAACAACCTTATGCTGCACCTCAAACTTCTAGAAAAAGAAGAGCAAGTCAAGCCCAATGCACAAAGACAGGAGCAAATTATAAAGGTTAAAGCAGAAATTTATGCATTGGAGACTAAAAAACCAATACAAAGAATTAATGATTAGCTTATATGAAAGAATAAATAAAATTGATAAACCCCTAGCCAACCTTATCAAAAAATGAAAGAGAAAAACTCAAATTCATGCAATAAGGAATGAAAAGGATGAAAGCACTAGAGATGCTGTGGGAATTCAGAAGATCATCAATATCTTTACTGATAGGATGGAAATGGAAATGGACAGATTGGTAGGTAGATGAATTACCAAAGCTGAATCAAGGAAATATAAAAATCCTAACAACCAGATATCAGTCAATGAAATTAAAAATGTAATAAAAACTTACCAATGAAGAAAAGCCCATGTTCTGATGGATTCACAGCCAAATTCTACAAGAAATTTAGAGAAGATTTAATGCCAATTGTTCCCAAACTCTTTAATGAAATTGAAAGGGAAGCAATCCTTCCTAACTCATTCTTGGAGGCAAGTATTATGCTGCTACCAAAACCAGAGAAAGACCTAACCAAAAAAGAGAACTACAGGCCCACTTCCCTAATGAACATAGATGCAAAAATTCTCAATAAAATACTAGCAAACGGAATGCAGCAAATCATTAAGAAGATTATATATCATGACCAAGTGTGAATCATCCCAGAAATGCAAGAATGGTTCCATATACACAAATCAATAAATGTAGTACACCATATCAACAAAGCCAAAGACAAACATCACGTGTTCATCTCAATAGATTCAGAAAAAGCTTCTGATAAACACTCATTCATAATAATAAAACTCTATGGAAAATCAGAGCAGATGGTCTTTACCTCAATATGATAAAAGCCTCTATGACAAACCAACAGCCAACACTCAATGGACAAAAACTGAAAGATTTCACTCTAAAATCAGGAAAAAGACAAGGATGTCCACCATCATCACTCCTACTCAGTATAGTGCTGGAAACATTACCCAGAGCAATTAGATGAGAAAGGGAAATAAAAGGAATAAGGATAGGAAAGGAAGAAGTGAAATTATCATTATTTGCAGATGACATGATAGTCTACACAGAAGACTCTAAAAACTTCACCAAAAGACTTATAGATTTTATAAGCAAATTCAGTAGAGAAAATCAATTGCATTTCTGTATACAAACAACAAACACATTGAGAGAGAAATTAGGGAAACCACACCTTTCACAATGGCATCCAAAATAATGAAATACTTAGGAATCAATCTAACAAAGGAAGTAAAAGATCTATAGAGTGAAAATTACAGTACTCTGAAAAAAGATATTGAAGAGGTTTTCAGAAAATGGAAAGATATTCATTGCTCAAGGATGGGAAGAATCATCATTGTGGAAATGGCCATGCTCCCAAAATTGTTTTACAGATTCAATGCAATCCCAAATAAAATACAATTAGTATACCTCACAGATCTAGAGAAAACAACCTTATAATTGATCTGGAACAAGAACAGACCCAGAATAGCAAAAGCAATCCTGGACAACAAAGGAAAGGCAGGTGGCATCACAATCCCTGACTTGAAATTATACTACAAAGATACTGTATGAGCATGGCACTGGCAAAAAAAGCAGACCTGAGGATCAGTGGAACAGATTGAAAGATTCAGACATGACTACAAACACATTCTTCCACCTTATCTTTGACAAAGAGGCCAAACATATTCACTGGAAGAAAGATAGCCTCTTTAATAAACAGTGTTGGTAAAACTGGCTCTCCACATGCCAAAGACCAAAACTAGATCCATACCTATCACCATGCACCAAAATAAAGTCAAAATGGCTCAAAGATCTAAATATTAAAACAGAAACACTAAATCTACTGGAAGAGAAAGTAGGTTAATCTCTCAACAACATAGAGGTAGACAGAGAGTTCATGAACAAAAACCAAAGTGCATGGGAAATACTTCAGAGAATCAATAACTGGTGTCTCATCATTTTGAAAAGTTTTTTGAACATCAAAAGAAATCACCAACAAGATAAAAACAAAACCCATGAAGTGAAAACAAAGTTTATCCAACTGTACCTCAGACAAAGGACTTCTATCTAGAACACATAAAGAATTTTTTAAAAATTGGGCACAAAAAATTCAAAGACCTAATACAGAAATGGGCATCTGAGGTGAATACACACTTCTCAGATAAAGATATACAGACAGCAAATAATTGTATTAAAAAATGTTCAACATCATTGGTCATTTAAGAAATGCAAATTAAAACAACACTGAGATTCCATCTCATTCCAGAAAGAACAGCTATCATCCTGAAATCACCCAATAATAAATGCTGGAGGGGCTGTGGGGAAACAGGAACTCTTCTTCAGTGCTGTAGGGAATGTAGACTGCTACAAGCACTGTGGAAATCAGTGTGGGTATTCCTCAAAACACTAGGATTAGAGGCCCCATTCGAACCAGCTATTCTCCTTCTGGGTATTTTTCCAGAAAAACTGAAAACATCGTAACACAGCAATATATGTGCACCCATGTTTATAGCAACACAATTTGTAATAGTTAAATCTTGGAAACAGCCAAAACGCCCATCACCCGAAGAATGGATAAAAAAAAGATGTGTTTTTTTTATATAATGGAGTACTACTCAGCCATAAAGAGGGATAAACTTGAGAGTTTTATATGTAAATGGCTGCAACTCAAGACCATACTCATAAGTGGAATAAATCAGATCCATATGTGTAAACATCATATTGTCTCACTGGTATGAGAGACTGAATGAGTAAATAAAGTAAAAAATGTAAATAGATATAGTGAGTTAGGAAGAAACTGTTCAAAAGAAAAACAAACTGTACCAGGGGAAAAGAAGGAAGCAGAAAAGAAAAAATATATTTATACACAAGATAGTCAAGATAGTTATACAGCTAAAAGTTTGTCTTAGTTCTTCAAAAGAAAGATTTCTCCCAGTATTATTTGGACAAGATATCATGTCTCTCTCTCTCTCTCTCTCTCTCTCTCTCTCTCTCTCTCTCTCTCTCTTTTTGTTTTTGATAGTGTGTAGGCTGATTTGGACCTTGTGCTTGCCAAGCAGGTACCAAGCACCACTGAGCTAAGTCCCTGGCCATGCCTATATCTTGTACTCTGAATAACTGCTACAAAGACAATAATGTACAACAATGTACAATGCAGAAATTATTTTAACTCTCCTACTAACCCGTTTAGAAATTCTGCTTTATTGCTATTTTTTCTCTTTAAAATAAAAAAAGATTTAAAAAATAGTTGAGGAAAAAATATAAATAGTGCTTTTACAAATGGGGAGAGGAAGAAGAGTTGGGGGGAGCAGGGAAGGAAGCAGGGATAAAAAATTAAGATGTGTTTGTATATGCACAATCTCCCCACAATAAATGTAATCTTTACATAGTGAAAATATGTAAATTTAGTGTTTCTGTTTTAACATTTAGATCACTGATGCATTTTCATTTTAGTTTAGTGCATTGTGATAGACATGGGTCTATTTTTAGTCTCCGGCATGTGGAAAGCCAATTTTTCCAGCACCATTTATTAAAGAGGCTACCTTTCTTCCAGTGGATGTGTTTGGCTGTTTTGTCAAAGATCAGGTGGTTGAGTGCATTTGGAGTTGTTTTCACAGCTTCCAATCTGTTCCATTGATCCTTGGGTCAGGTTTTGTTTTATTTTGTTCTGTTTTTTGCCAGTACCATGCTGTTTTGATCAGAGTACCTCTGTGGTATAATTTCAAATAAGGGATTATGATACCCTCTACCATGCCCTTGCTGCCCAGAATTGCTTTTACTATTCTGTGTCTCTTTTGGTTCCAAGTGAATTTTAGTAATGTTTTCTCTTCTGTGAGGTTATGCTAATGGTATTGTGATTGAGGTTGCAATAAATCTGTGTAGCAATTTTGGAGTTTTAAATTTTTTTTGGCAACAGAAATCAAACTGAGGACCTTGTTCTTGACAGGCAGGCACTTGTGCCACTGAGCTATATCCCCAGACCTGTATAGCAATTTTGAGAGTTTGGCCATTTTCACTATGTTGGTTTTTCTTACCCAAGAGCAAGGGATATCTTTCCATTTTTGAGGTATTCTTTTCAATCTGCCTTTTCACTCTAGTTTTCAATGTAGAGATATTATACATCCTTTGTTAGAGTGATTCCTAAGTATTATGTTTTTCTTCAAAGGCATTGTGAAACATATTGTTTCCCCAGTTTCTCTACCAGTGAGTTTGTTGTGTGCAGGAATGCTATTGACTTTTGAGTGCTGACTTTGTATCCAAAGTCTGTTGAACTTGGTTGCTAAATCTAGAAGTCTTTTGGTGGTGTTTTGGGGATCAAAGATCTAAATATTAAAACAGAAACACTAAATCTGCTGAAAAATAGAATACGTAGAACTCTGGAAGACAAAAATGTAAGCATAGACTTTATGAACAACACCCCTATGGCACAGAACTATCACAAAAAATCAACAACTGCAATCTCATCTTACTAAAAAGCTTTGGCACAGCAAAAGAAATCATCAGTGGAGAGAAATGACAACCCACAGAGTGAAAAAAAATTTATGCTAGCTCTTCCTCCGACGAAACACTAGTATCTAGAACATATAAAGAAATGAAAAAAATTAGAAATTCAAAGACCCTACAAATTCAATGACCCAATCCAAAAATGGGCATATGAGATGAATAGACACTTCTCAGAAGGAGTGCAAATGTCAAATAAATATATGGAAAAAGTTCAATATCACTTGTCATTCAAGAAATACAAATTAAATCAACACTGAGATTTCATCTCACTCAAGAAAGAATGGCTATTATCAAGAAAATAGCTCATAACGCATGGTAGCAGGTCTGTGGTGATAAAGGAACACTTATCCACCATTGGTGGGAGTGCAGGCTAGGAAATCAATGAGGAGAGGCCTCAAAAATTTAAAACTAGAGTTTCAGTTTGACCCAGCTGTTCCCCTTTGGGGTATCTTCCCAGAAGAGTTAAAAGCATTATACCATAGAGATATATGTGCACCCATGTTTATAGCAGCACATTTTGTAATAGCTAAATCTTGGAAACAACCCAATGCCCAACAACTGATGCATGGATAAAAAAGGTATAGTATTTCTTACATAGAATATTATTCAGCCATAAAGAAAGATAAAATTGAGACATTTATAGCTAAATGGATGGACCTTGAGACCATAATTAAAAGTGAAATAAATTGGACACACATAAGTAAATATCACATTATCGCTCTGGTGTGAGAAAATGAAAATATAAATAAGAAAAAAAATTGCAAAAGATGTTGCAAAATAGGAAGAAATTGTCCAAAAGGAAAAGGAAACTAGTGAGGCAGAGGGGAAAGGAAGGAAGAGAACGAAATAAATGAGAAAAAGGATAAAATTAAACACCTTTGTGAATAGGGA